GTAACCCATACAAGAACTTGCAAAGCTGGTCATCTTTCCATAATTTGAAGGAGATACTTTCACAGAAACTCATGCAACAACCTTGTAAAGCAGGCCACTTTTACCATAATTTGAAAGAGGTATTGATGGTGCATCTGGATGAAGATTAAATTTTATTCCATCACTGATAATAATGTTCCAAAACTTCATAAATTTTAGCATAAATTCAACAGGAAAAAAAAACTTGCCTTGTTACTTTATTCTGCTTTGGACAAATCTCACCTGGAATACTGTGTCCAGTTCTGGGTACTACAATTCAAAAAGGATGCTGAGAAGCTGGAGCATGTTCAGAGAAGGGTGAGTTTTCTGCTCACAAGTCATATAGATAGCTCTATTCTGGTCAGTACTAACAATGGGATTTATGCCTATATTACAAACCAGTTGCATTTCTAACTGCACAGGTTTAATCTCCTGCATGCCATTAAAAGAGAGGACTTATCTAAATGGAGAAAAAACATATTCTGGAAACTCTGAGACCCATTCCAAGACATAGAGCTGAAACACACACACACACAGTAGTTACCATTGCATTCAATGGTGCTTACTCTCAGAGAGGTGGCATACATACACCTGTTGAAATGAGAGTGCTGCATGGCCATGACCAAGGGATGCATGGAGTTGGAGTCTTTGAACATTGGGAGGACCAAAATCTGAGAACTTCTAATCTAAAGGATAAAGAAGTTATTGTTTACTACAAATTGCATCAGACTGAAGGCCCATTCATCATCCTCTTTTATATACCACAGCTAATCAGATGCTTCTAGGAAGGTCACAAGCATTCAGCCTCTGAACCTGGAGGTTACTTACTATCACAGCCACATTTAGAACCTATACAAATAAAAAGAAACACACCATTTCATGTCAGTGGACTTCCTAAATGGAACAGTAAATTGGCTAGAATATCCCATAAAAATACCACTAACAGAGAGATTTTCTCTGCATTTTTGCTAGGAGACAATATCACCAAAGTCTTCACACCTACTAAAATCTGATTTTTCCTTCTATCTTTCTGTATATATATTTTTCCCCCAGGACTTCAGTGGTTTTATTTCATTTTAATGGTATTGAGCAAGACCTCAAATTGCATCCGGTCCTTGGGACATTTACAACCATCTCTTTGGCACTCTGTACTTGGGAGTTTCCCCGGAGGATGCATTTGAAAGGCAAATGAGCTTGAGTCACAGCTGGTGGCATGACATGTTGGCTTAGCTTCCCTGAAACTTCTCTATGTATATGTATATGTATATGTATATGTATATGTATATGTATATGTATATGTATATACACACACACACATAGTAGTCTTCTAATTTCCTTTTTAACTTCACACTGTGATAAAACTATTTTCATTTTTAGCACATGACTATTGTTTGAGAGCCAGGATGGTGTAGTGGATTGAGTGATGGACTACAACTCTGGAGAGTCGATTCTCCAGGGTTCAATTCCTCAATCAGCCATGGAAAATCACTGGGTGACCTTGGCTGAGTGACACACTCTCAGCCCCAGCAAACACCAAGATAGGTTCACCTTAAGGTTGACATAAGTCAGAAATGACTTGACAGCACAAAACAACAACATTGTTTGATTTAGTGGTACAAAGGCACACCAAGAGCCATGCAAAAGCAAACTTGAGAGGTGTCATCCAAATTAAAATGCTTAGATACAGTTTGACTCAGTGTTAGAATTATAGTATCATAGAATCATAGAGTTGGAAGAGACCACAAGGGCCATCCAGTCCAACCTCCTGCCATGCAGGAACTCAATATCAAAGCATCCCTGACAGATGGCCATCTAGCCTCTTTTAAAAGACCTCCAAAGAAGGAGACTCCACTACACTTTGAAGGGGTGTGTTCCACTATCAAACAGGTCTCACTGTCAGGAAATTCCTTCTAATGTTGGGGTGGAATATCTTAAAAAGAATTTAAAAACTTACCCACTCAAGATGGCTGCCTGGAAACTGCTTTCTCCTCTTTCCTAGCAGGAACTGGCCTGGAAAGCTTCCTTCTCTGTCTCCTTTCCTGGCAGAAACTGCCTAGAAAGCCTCTTTCTCTTTCTCCTTTCTGTTAGAAACTGGCCTGGAGAGCCTCCTCCTCCTCCTTCCCCTGTCCTGGCCGAAACTGACCTGAAACTGGCCTCTGGCAGCAGTTGCACTGTTAAGTGCCAATCATGCTATGATTTTCCATTAATAGCAAAAGGAAACAAATATTTGGCTACAGTGACACTAGTTGAGTCAATAGAATTGAACTTGAGAACTAGTTCTTTTTTTCTCTGAGGCAAATATTGGCTGGAGTCTCAACTAGAGTTGATCTATGCTGAGAGAGTTGAGATATATCCAGCTTCTCATCATCTTGGTGAAGACAAGACCAAGGGTTGAGATATATATATCTAGAGGACTGTCACAAAGAAGAGGGTGCAGCTTTGTTCTCTGTTGCCACAAAGGGTACAATCAAGTATAACAGTTTTAGTGACAGCAGGGCAGATTTTGTTTGAACATTAGAAGAAACTTTTTGACACTAAGAACACTTTAGTGTATTTCTGTAGACATCTTCAAAGGGCAGTTAGAAAGCTGGGGATATTATAGCTTAATTATAGCATTAAGCAGCTAGTTAGACTTCATTGGACTCTGGAAACCAGTGTTCAGTTCCCAGCTTAGCCATGGAAACCCACTAGGTGGCCTTGGGCAAATGACACACACTCAGCTCCAGAAAACCCCATTATAGGTTTGTCTTAGGGTCACCAGATGTCATAAATGACTTGAAGGCATAAAACAACAACAACAACAACAACAAATGGTATCTCCTTAACACTTATCTCCACCACCACATAAAAAGTTCTGATAGGGTTGCAACAAAACAAAGTTGACCTTTAGGTATGTAAGAACTACAAAGTAAGAAGGAGGCAGGAATAAAAAGAGATTTTAACAGCTGAGGTCTTATGCCATAGTCACCTTTCCTGAGAATCTAATTTAATATTCAGTGCTTGACTTCTCCCATCCCCACCCCCCACCTTCAATTTTTCACTGGTTTTGCCAAAACACATACATTCTTTAAGATGCAGCATCAGTTAGGATGAGTTTGATATGAAAGCCATAATTACATCTCTGCTTGAGAGATATTAAGTAATCCATTTTACCTGAGCAAGAAACTTTGGGTTATCATCAGTTTGCAATATGATTCATTCTTTTGTGATTTCGCACTCACCCACAGCCACATTCCTCCTCCACCCACCACCCACATGCTGTGTTACTAGGAAAACTTTGACCTTGCATTGAAAGATAATAACAGAGCAAATGTATAGTATCTGTGTGATTAATAGTACAGCCAGTGAGTCATCTCAGAATTATGGAAGCTCACAAAATGTGCTTGCACACTCCAAGCATCTCTAAGCCATGTTCACCTTCTTGCAAAATAATTCATTAATGTAATGATAATGGCATTCAAATTTTGCAATAACAGCCCACTCATATATATATTTGTTTTTATATATATATATTTCCATAGATGAAAATGGAGAGCATTCCCCCCCCCACACACAAACACAGCCTACTCCGCCTTCGCCTTCTCACCATTAGTGGTTAATGCCAAAATATGATCTTTAGTCATTCCACTGACATAATATAAAACTAACGTACTTTTCCTATTTTTCATAAAATTTTCATCCACACTATTAGTTTCACTGATAGCAGGCTGGGAAATGTTGTTAGGCAGCAAGATGGACGACCCTGGAAAACCTCAGCATGTTAAGAAGCCATAAAATTTTATTCAGTTCATTTATTGCCACAGTCCAGTAACCCTATAGTAACACTGTGCTATTTTTATTGTGTATTTATTTAAAGGTTGGATGTTCTCTCAGCTGGGCCATTTAACTGAATTAATCTGGATTTCTAATGAACTCCATTCTTAGAGGTACATCTGATCCATTGTTCCTTTCATAAAGATGATCTAACTGAACATTTATATTTTCCTGAGTTGTACGAAGTAAGGGGAGAATGCAAAGTGGTTGGTATTCTTTGGAACATAGGAAGTTGTCTCACATGACATCAAACCTCAAACCTCCACTGGATTTTTAAAAGTAGAGCTTGCATTGTCAGTTGTCATGAGATGCTTTAGCTGTAAATTCCTCCATGGCAGGGAGTTGGACTACACAGTTGATGGGGTTCCTTTCATCTCTATATTTGTATGGCTCTGTGACATCACTGATCTGACTAGAAAGATGCTCAACCAACCTCTGTTTAAACAACTCCAGTGATGGAGAGTCACCACCTCTGAGGCAATTTAGTCCACTCTTGAACAGTTTTTAATATAAAGAAGTTTTTCCTAATGTTTAGGTAGAATCTCTTTTCTTCTAATATGGATTCATTGGCTTATGTTCTAGTCTCTAGAGCAGCAGAAAACAATCTGGCTCCATTTTCTGCATGACACAATTCAGTGTTCTCACAGAGGTTCAGCAAATCTTTAATCAGACTCAATTTTGAGATATGAAGGATTGGTTTTAGGACCCTTTCCATGCTATAAAGTCCCATAAAGTTTAGGTCCATTCTGTCTGAAATTGTATCTTGCTGGATGAACTTGCTTGAGTCTTAAGACCCTCAAGAGAGGGCTTTCTCTTGGTCACACCACCATCATAAGCCCATCTGGTGAGGACATGGGAGAAAGCTTTTCAGTGACTGCTCCCATCTTGTGGAGTTCACTTCCAAGGGAGACTAGGCTGGCTCCACTCTGCTCTCAATTCATCAGCAATGAATACATTTTTGTTAAAACTGGCTTTTAATGACCATTTATGTGGGGTGTGTGACCCTATTTTTAAATTTATTATGTTTTGAATGTGTGTGTGTGTGTGTGTGTGTGTGTATATGCATGTATATGTATACATATACCTGCATATGTTTATATGTACATAGGCCAGAATACATTAAGACTATCATAATATATGTATATGTGTGTGTGTGAGAGAGAGAGAGAGACAGTGTGGTGTAGTGGTGTGAGCATTGGACTAGGACTCTGGACTCTGGAGACCAGGGTTCAAATCCTGGCCTGGCCATGGAAACCCACTGGATGACCTTAGGCAAATCACACACACTCTCAGCCTCAGAGGATGGCAATGGCAAACCCCCTCTAAAGAAAATTGCAAAGAAAACCCCATGGTAGGTTCACTTTAGGATAAGTCAGAAATGACTTGCAAGCACACAACAACAACGACAAGTGTGTGTGTGCATGTGTGTTGTATGCATATATAGTCCAGACTATTTTATCACAGTGTACATTATGTAACTTTGTGTATACTTAGCAAATGTAGCAAAGGATCTTAAAAAAAAAACAAACAAAAAATGCTGATAGTGAATGACAAAGATGTGTAATGGAATCAGTCCCAATTGTTGAATTTGCTACTTAATAATGGAACAGCAGCCCTTTACGTGATACAGATTTTATGGAACTGCCCTATTTTAATTCCTGCAGAAACAAATCCACTTATGAAGATGCAAGTCCCCAACAGGATTCCAGTCTTAGTAGTTTTAATGTGATTATATATATATATATATATATATATATATATATATATATATATATATAACTGTTTTCTTCTAAACTCAATGGGATTACATAAGTGTTGATGTAGCAGTTTATTCAATGGATCTATTTTAGCTGAAATTACCAATTGGACATAGGTATAGGAAGCCAAGGTGGAGAAAAGGCTGAAATTCTAGACAAATGTTGGATCGACCAGTCTGTAGCTATTATTGGAATACATGCTTACACTAAAGCTGCCAAAACAAATAAAACTCATGAAAGGCTTTCTTATCTCCAGATGCACAGATGATTCCTTCAAAACAAAATTACAGATGGTAAAGGTGGAAGTCCAAAAGGGTGAAGTGAAACAAAGAAAGAATATTTTGCAAGGGAGTAGAATCTTGTGCCAATCCATATATGTGAGATCCATGCCAGGGAAAGAAATATTAGGAACCTAAGATTATTCAAAACCAAAGGATCTCTGCCTTAAGGCAGTAGCCAAGAACGAGGCTCATCAGACCCTGCTCCCCGCTGACTTAAAGAGGAGAATTTCAAATACAAGGTGGTTGAAGAACAAAAGACCAGAATCTCAAAGCAGCTAATGAAAGCTTAAGCATGAAAGTCCCTACCCAGAACTACCTTGAGAGGTAGTGAAAAAAATGAATACGCGTGGCAGAGCTTACTTTCCATTTTTAAGGCTCTTGAAGATTTTTTTTTAAAAAAGGGAGGGGAGAACTCCAATCATCTAAAGACAAAAAAAGTAATACAAAACATAAAGAAACTTCAATTGGAAAAAGCAGTACTCCTGAATATATCTTCCTCTCTCCATGAATGTGCTCAGCCCGCTGTTTCCTCTGTTTCCATTAAGCTGATAACTTCTAAAGAAAGGCATATAAATTTTTAAGAAGAATGTGTTTGGAAGCTGAATCCATCTTTCTTTCATACTGGTGTAACTGCTGTGCCTTCTGCTTCCTTTACTGTCACAGCTTGCTGGAAGATCACAAGAGTCCTATAGGTGGAACATAAGGTTGATGGAGAACCAAATGCCAAGATGCCTAAAGGACAGGCTCATCCAACCACCAGGCTTTCTTAGATAAAGAAATAAGATAAAGACCACACAGAGAGAAGATTGTGAAGGATTTATTTATTTATTTGATTGAAATGCTGTGTATCTGTCAAGTGGTATTTCTGGAAAACTATCTTAAACTGAGTGCTGAGGGTTGGCCTTCCTAACCTATCATCCATTACTTGGATGAATAGGGCTCTAGCTGTGGTCTTTCCCAGTCTACATCTTGAGAACCTGTAACTCAGGAGTGAGCAAAGATGAGGGAAAGTACCAGTTTTTGTCCCTATGGCTTCACAGATGATGATCATGATCATGACTTTGACCAAACATTTGACATGAAGTCTCTTCCAGGTGTATGGTTATACATTTTGGGCTAGTTTCCAGTTTAAATCCATTATACAATGGATGTATTATACAACCCTTTACATTACACATTACAGAACCCTTCTGAATACCAAGACTGGCAGATGCACAAAGTGGTCGTTTTTGCAGTCACAGTGAATGAAGTGATACACTGGAACTAATAAATATTTACATATCATCCAAAAACATATAACTGCATGGGTGGAATCCAGTTGGTTAGCTCCAGTTAGAGCAGACCCATTGAATCAATTGTTCAATGTTGAGTGAACATGTGATTAAACCCAATTGATTCAATGAGTCTACTCTAATTAGGATTAACAATAGAATTTAAACCCATGTGAAATGGTTACATTTACGGACCTATGGTTACACAACCATAAAATGGATACACCCATTGCAAAGTGGTAAAAAAAATTCAACTTTAAGGGAACTCATACATTTGCATCAGACCAGTAAGATTTCAGCCACAGCAACACTTTTCTTTCCTGCATCTGAAGATATCATTTTTTGCTGCAACAGGGGAAACTTTAACAAGAGTATAATGTAACTCTTTGATGTTTTCATTTCCAACAAAGTCCTGTAAGTGCAACATAATGTGGACAGGCTCATCCAACCACTGGGCATTGCCAGATCAAGGAACAAAGATTGGAGATAATCTCTTTCATTTGGACCACAACTGGCAAATTTTATCTATACAGTATGTTTTTCCAGCTATAGCAATACAGAGACTTCTTGAAAAATACAATGCTTTCTGCCTAAGAAAGGGGCAGTTAGCTTTGCACAAGACAGGGACAGGGAAGAGAAGTTAGTTTTTGATTACTAACAGAGCTGAAGTCTTTTCCTGTTTTTTATTCCCCTTTGTCCCTAGTCTCCGTATGACCAAGAAGGGAATTGGCCTCTGCCTTTATCGAAATCCTTTCATACCACTGTAATTATCAAGAGAAGTAACATCTGAGGATTTGTTCACATGGCCCAAATAATATGGTTTCACATTGTCCTCACAGCAAGCAATCTAAGCTACTTATGGGATGCTCACTCATGCAGATATCTGCAATACATGTGGGGGCAAAGGGACAAAGGAGGGCACTAGATCTCTGAATGAGTGAGCAAGTGAATGATTGCAGGAGATTGAGGGAGCAAAAACAGTAAAAATAAATGTGATATTCAGGCTGGGGGTGGAAGGAGGGAAGAAGCAGAAAGAGGTGTCCCAATCTAAGTCCTCACTGCTGATCTTAATGGTGGACAGTTTCATGAGTAAAAAATAAATAAATGAAATGTAATTTTATTTTGTCTTTCTCCATTGTTTGTGTGTGTATATAAATTTGAAATTCATTCACTCACTCATTGGAGCAGGAAAGTGGGAAAGGGAATTGTATGGGTAGGCATCAAATCAAAGTGGATCCAATAGATTGACAGGCAAACAGTACCAGCTATTTGCTGATAAGTTGATGTATGCAAAGAAGAGGAAAAGAAGTGAGTTTGGCAGGGGAAAATATACGGCCCATTGTGTCAAACTCACCTCATTTTGCCATTGTGGAGTCAGTGTGAACACAAAAAAATGCAAGGTGAGGGCTATTATTTTGACAGTATAGATGCGTCCATAGACAAAATATAAACTTGTGACATTGAAATCATCACTTTTCTTCACCTGTATGTTTTTTTTTAAACATCTGTGCCTGATGAAGATGCCTGCAAAGCTTCAAAAACTTGCATGAAGTATTGTGTGCATTATGGTTGCTCAATAATATGGCTATGAATTTTGTGTGTGTGTATGTGTATGAATACACACACACACACACACAATTTCTGATGCTCCAGAGAATAAGACATGGAACAGTGGATGCAAGCTACAGGAAAAGAGATTCCACCTCAGCATTAGGAAACACTTCCTGACAGTAAGAGCTATTCAATAGTGGAACATACTCCCTCGGAGTGTGCTGGTGTCTCCTTCTTTGGAGGTCTTTAAGCAGGGCTTTGATGGCTATCTGTTGGGAGTGGTTTGATTTTGAGTTCCTGCATGGAAGGGGGTTGGAGTGGATGGCCTTATGGCAGCAGCGACAACAACAACAACATATGAGGGGATCTTGTAAAGTCGTAATTCTCACCCAGAAGTTATTATGGTATATTGAATATGTCTCTTCCATTCCATGTAATGTGGTGCAGGTTGCTAGCTAAAATGCCACTTTGCAAAGAAAGAAGAAGGTAAATACACAGAAGATAAATTGTCATATTTTCTGGCATTTTAAGAACAAGGAAAAATACAATTGATGTCATAGTTGAAAAAATATGTTACTATGACATTTTTTTGGTCATGTGCCTTTCTGTTGTTGTTGATATCATCATCATCATGATCATCATGATCATCATCATCATCGTTGTTGTCACCATCATCAATTATATCCTGCTTTTTTTATTCAAAACCTGGGAGTCATCGTGGCTAATATTTTGGAAAGTTTTCCACAAAAGGATTGGGTAGATTTCTAGACAGGGCTGAGTTCAAAATTGGATAGAAAAGACCCTCAAACCGCTTATGAGAATGCTTCATGAAACTTTAAAGGGACCCAAGGTCAACAAAACTCTTGTCAATATTGTGCTTGAATTTGTCAGACATTAGCACTTGACAATACAATAACCCCTTTGCTTTGATTCACAGGGAAAATGGGGAGTTGGAAGAAGAGCTTGGCGAAATTCCCTGTAGCTAACACTTGATCAAAGAACTCTAGATAAAAGCATGGTGGAGGGGAACTGTTGAAAATATATAATGAAGAGAAGGGGGGAGGAAGAGGAGGAGGAAGAGGATCACATTTTGTCAATCACATTCTCATAGAGGTTACACAAAACAACACAAACACTTTATCTTTATACAAATGGCAGTTTCTTTGATTTAATAAATTTCTGTTAAAAGGAGAACTAGGAACAGATTGTGGGTATTTGCTATGTGTGGATATTTGCGATGTCCAGATTGGTCCCACAGTTGCAACCACTGGTTTTGTGTTTCTCACCTTGGCATTTTGCCATTAGGTTTCCTACCTGGATCTGGTACTCAGGCCTTGAGGTGACTACGATTTTCAGATGACTGTGTTGATCAATGCATTCAGTATGGT